ATCTTTTCTTCCGTTATAACGAATTTATATCGTAATAATGAATTTTTTTCCGTTATAACGAATTTATTTTTGTAATAACGAATCTTTTTTTCGTAATAACGAATCTTTTTTTCGCAATAACGAATTTATTTTCATTATAACTAATCTTTTTTCCGTTATAACGAATTTCTTTTCGTGTCTTTTCCATATTTCAATTTTGACCGCATTAGGCTTTCGTAGAGTAGATATGTGTATGATGATGTACTTTGTGTATGCAAATAAATCTTTCAATATTTTTCATATTTTGTGTGAGTAGTAGAACGCGTTTAAGCGATTAGACGACCCAGATATGCAAGTAATCATAGTATTGCATCAATATGCACAATTCCGAACAGATTAAAACTGAATCCTAAACAATTTGAAACGAGGTTTAAACAGCAAAAAGTAAATTGTGAACCAACATGATACCAGGGTCATATGGTGACATGGAAACTATACTTTAGACGTGCAGCATTATCTACACATTGCACACTGTGTCTAAGTTGGTAGGTTAAATAGAATATTGTACTAGGTCGTTTATATCACATGACACATTTCACATATTGTCTATTAGGATGTATACAAGGGTCGGGTGTATTTCTCTAGATATTAAACAGCACATCCAGGTATTTAGAGAACATATGGTGTTGTAGGCCTGCCAGTTGATGCATTTTCTTGTCCTACTAAGACTTGGTTTGATGGCCCATGAAAAGGGGTATCTTGCCAAGGTATTTTCTTCGTCAGTAAAGAGCGAGGCATTCTGTCAGTCTGGGCTAACATATCGCATCGATGAAATAATGCCAACTCATTTTATTTATCAGCTTTTGTGCTAGATAATTCCAAGCATTCAAATCTTAACAAATTGTTCTCATACTACCATGGACTTCACTATATAAAATTAGAGGTGCACCTACATTTGCAGCACACAGACATATTTGACAGGCCTTTACCACTGATCTATAGTTGGTATACATCCGTGCCTTTACAAATATTGAAAAAGAAATGTTACTTTTATATCAAAATTTAAATTACATCTGATTTTTATTTTTTATTCTAACATTATTTTTAGAAATATGCCAAATTAAAATTTACCATGCATCTATCAAGCAATCAGCTACTCAGTTGCAATATACATACCAGTTATCATACTTTGAAATAAGAGATTTACCCATATTATTCTTATAAAATGTGTCCCACTATTAAAGTACTTTGAGTCATCACGTGTCAATTCATTGATCCATCATTTCTTACAGAATACTCATGTTCATAAAATAGTAAGTAAATTGCAGAGATTTGTCCCAACAAACAACAAAGATATAAGATGTGTATGATACATAAATAAATGTTAATCATAATTGTATCTGATTGTTTTAGTAACATAATATTTATATTATGTTGACAAGTTATTTCCCTCACAACCCATACACTATCCTGCTGTAGCTATACAGTCAAGTCCCGTTAATCCGACATGGTTGGTTGCATATGATTATGTCGGATTAACCAGTATGTCGGATAAACGAAATTAGGTAGTATCAACGTTCGTATAGGTCCTGATGTTCATTTAACAATACTTCAAGATACATATAGTATTAAGTCTATTTGTTGGATAATTTTATCATTCAGCAAATATGATTTTAGAAAGTTTATAATAAAAAATGCAAACTGAACCCCATATTCATTCCATGTAGATAAAAGCACGTATTTATGTTATATGTTGTTGCATATGCATACAACAGATTATACTTAAATATATGTCACAATCAGTATCCATAATCAGGCAATATGTATATTGACTGATTCACTCAGCCAATGTATATATTGTCTTAAATTTTCAGTCAATATACATACATGCCTTGAAAATGAGACTGGATTTTTGACAGATTGGCTGAAATGAATAAGCCTCCTTTATTTAATCTCCTTATTTTAATTTGGATCTATTTTGATCTTACGAAAATGAAAGAAACTTATGTAAGTAATTAAATATGTTTCCACAATGAATTGATTGGTTCTTCAGACATGAAAGAATACCTTTTTTATGTTACTTATCTTTTTTGACAAAACATGGAGTTCTTTAACAGAAAATGACTGCTAAAACACTTGCATGTGTAATCTTATACTACAGTCTGGAAGGTAATTTAAGGTACCGACGTTTACTGCAATATCTGAAAAACTATCGGACCTACTCCAGTCAAAGTTTGTGAGATTATTAAACAGTCATACATAACTGGATATTACATTTAAAGACAATCGGTGCATGAATAAAAACTCTGTCTTCTGCAAAAAATATGATTTATAGAATTCCTTAACACAGTCATGTATACAGCATATATGTTTTATTAACAGTCCTCTTATTTGAAACAAATATTGATATTACCGTCGGTAAGTAAGCCACCTGGAAGATCCACTGGGTGCTACAGTCCTTATATCGGCTAAGGGTCAGGTTTGTGGAAATATGTACTGGACACAACATTTATAGATTAATAAGATCAATTCTAAGACAGTCCACACAATAGAATTGAAATATGTCTTGGCATCATCTGTTGTGTATTAGATGGTGGCTATGCTCTGAAATATGAAATGTTAGATCACGAGGATGAAAAATTAAAGTGTTTTATGATACACGAGAGTTGGTGACACTGGCTGCTTACACCACAACATACCGTATGAGATCCGGCACCTACATGAGCAATTAGTTAGTTAGTTAGTTAGTTAGTTAGTTAGTTAGTTAGTTAGTTAGTTAGTTAGTTAGTTAGTTGTAGTATGACTCGTTTATTAATAAGGAATTTGCAGCAAATTTCTCTTATTTGTCTGCGAATTATAAGAAATTAGCTTTTTAAATGATATTTTAGCAAATAGAAAAAAGACTTTAGCTATATTATGTCTTTGAATGGCATTTAGGAATGATATACATAACATAGAGAAATTATGAAATAATGTCGTATATATGTGACTCTAAGGTGAAGATATTTGTCTACTCAATCTGTATGTTTTAAGGGAAACACATACCAGTGTGTATAATTTTCATCTGCATAATATACATTCATGATAATCAATATAATTGTCTTTCCTAAATCGATCGAGTACGTATTAGGTGTAAAGTTAAAATCTGCTAGATGGCCGACAAAATAACTCTCTTGATAATGCAAGCAATACAAACACTGGCTGAGAACACTGAGAATCATTTGTCAATGGAAATCTGTACACGTAATTCATTATTTGTTCTGGTTCAAACTTCTGTACCTGCACCATGAAGTCCTTTTAAAGTTTCGGTTATAAGATTCAAGGAAGAATAGACAGGAATAGCGAAAACTATTCAACAGTTAATCATTGACTATGTTTAAACATTAATGGATATAACGTGTCTTCCTACATAATGGTTGTGCCGACGCCCGGGAGTAAAAAAACAAGTTTGTCCCATAAAAGGGGCAATTAGTTCCGCAAATTGTCGCGAATAATCCGCAGTAGTTTTACGTAGTCATCGCGTAGTTAAGCAGAAATTTTACAATTTTTCGAAATGTAGTGAAAGCCTTTTGCGTTGTTGTGTAGTGTTAAAAAAAAAGTGGGACAGTGGCGGTTATATGGTTAATAATTAAGAAATTATTACACATATCTAATGATTTATTTGTAGTGCGCAAATACTCTAAAACAAAGTATATTTTCTTACAATACTTCAATATAGTGAATATAAAACATACAAAAAAGAAATGGCTCACTATTTATCTAAAAGTAACGGTCATCTTTATTGTGGGCGAGTAAATAACTGTTTATCCATTTGAATGTGCAATGGAGGGAGTATCTTGTTTTCCCTTTGGTGCATAAATTTCCACAGCGGCGGGGAAAATGGAGACAAAAAAAACATTCACGTCGGAATGAAAATTCAGGGCGGGCGGGAGACTGAAAACACAGAAAAAAATACGGACAGCCTATAATACCAAAGAAGTATGCTATGAGTGGACAGCATAGATCGGCCCATTTTAAGAAGAAAACTTTCTTCATTTTAGTACCATGCATATGCATGTACATCAGAGGCGGTGGGGTAGCCTATAGACTGTCTCACAGTCCCTCAAACACATTATTTTCCCTTCCGCCTCGCCCTTTCTGTAATGTAACAGCCTCAGCTGAAGCAAGTCGCTCGATACACCGAAGGTCCGGGTTCTATTGCCGATATGGCTACAATGTGTGAAGCCAATTTCTAGTTGCCCTGTCATGACATTGCTATAGTACTGAAACAGTTCACATTGCCGCACGTGTGTGTGTGTGTGTGTGTGTGTGTGTGTGTGCGCGCGTGTTTGTGCGTGCGTACGTGCGTGCGTGCGTGCGTGCGTGTGTGTGTGTGTGTTTGTGTGGAGGGTCCAACCCCTCCTCGAGAGAGGATTTTGATATTTTGGTCCCCTCCCTTTTAAAAATGCTGTATTTCCCACGGGAATCGTATAGCTGTATTCTAAAAGTCACAAAGGCTGCGTGGGTGTAGGCAGTGCTTTATTAACCAAGGCAGGCAGACTCATGTATGTCACTTATCACTATGTCATTGTTATGTCGGCTTTTGGAAGGCTCCCTCGCGCACATTTAGTTTGAAGGATTCAGTAGCTCAGCAGGGGATATATATACAATAGTCAATGTCTCTCAGTACCACGTGACTGTTGATAAGCAGCAGACAAACCCATTTGAAACTGACTCCCTCGTCACTATAACTATATGTAAACTTATAGTCCAGACACACTTCAAGAAAAAAACATGCCTTGAATACTTAGTTATGTGATGGTAGTAACACGTTCGGAAAACAAATACACATTGATGTCATACTTCTTTGGAATTATGGGAGATGATTTAAAGAAAGGGCGGTCGTTAAAAACATTTACATGTCATTTGTTCATGGGTTTAATCTGTGAACTCTGAACTAGCTCTGGGCAACGTGCATGTGTAAACCCCTAAATGCAGACATGTATACCGGCGTTAGTCTTTTTACGGGAAACTGCACTCACCTTTGTTTTCGGCAATAAATCGCTCTCTTCGCTGCCGCCATCTTATGTCGATTGCCCGCTGGCCTGACCCTGTGGGTGTCAACCCCCGAGGGAGGGGATCTAGGCCCCCAAGGTTATTTAGGAAGAGTTGACTAACTAGGGCACCTAAAGAGAACCCAAAAGCAATATAGCCCGCCGTCACAACATGGAGCAGTCGCCATGTTGTCATGGTTAAGCTATGGTTATTGGACCGACATTGCACATATTCATTAAAGCAAGCAGGCTTGCCACAGATGGCGGTTGGCTATCGTCAATACTTTGGAGGCAGAAAATCAAATTGATGCTTGTCCCTTAGTTCAAAATATATTGACTTTCGTGTTTTGCGAGTTGTGATTATCAAAATTGGTACATTCAAAGAACTGCCTTCATGTTAAAAAAGAAGAGCAATTCTTGTACACACCGGCATTTTTGTTTTAACATTCGAGTTACAGAAGAATTGATGTTTTGCTGGTATATTCAATGGAGGTGGCAGCCGTCGTCAAGCCGCGTTCTATCATAGCTATTCTGATGTCAACGCTTCCTCGTGGGGTCTGCTTACATCGCTGAGCTAGATCCTCCAATATTCTTGTCTCCATTACAATGATTAAGACAGATCTTATTTTATATTTAACTAATTACTTTTAGGGGACGGGTCTCACAAGTCTATTGTGCTTTTTCCCGTGTATAACTATTCAATTCAATGAAAGTTCGTGTCAAAGCTTAATTAAGGTAAATCATCTGTCCAGTACCATAGACTGTGAGCTCGCGTTCACCAAAAGTTGAGTTTTAACCCCTTAGATACAACTAACTGAAACTGTCGATTAGACCGAGCCTAGCCCCCACTTCCCCTACCTCACCCCTCAAATTAAAAAAAACCAAATGAAAATAAGTATAGATGTGTATATAAGATCTAAAAATTATAATATTACAAATTTCAAAATTATTTGGAATAGATTCACAATAATAATCAAGATGACATTATTTAATGTCGTATGTAATACTTAAAATAAAAGCCAGAAGGATGTTTGTTTCTGTGTGAATGTTTACTTCCCTTGTGCTGGGATCGGAGCATCCTTCTGCCATGCTTCGATTGTATGGGAAATGCCGCCGAAGGCGGTCAAAGGGAGGTAATTCAAAATGACTATCCTGCTACGAATCTCACCTGCACAACTGTAATGTGGGCTGTTTAGCTTTAGGACGTGTGTACCGTATGTTGCTGGGAAATAATACGTCAAAGCTATGGGAATTAAGTAAACAAAGTAAATGAAGATTAAAACGTCAGGGATGCTAATATTTTCTTTACAAGGAATGAATTGCCCCATGTATTGATTATGTTGTTTTTTTATAATGACCTCCCTCTGTTAGTAACATTACTACTACTACTACTACTACTACTACTGCTGCTGCTGCTGCTGCTGCTGCTACTACTACTACTACTACTACTAGGAATGTTGGAGGTGATTAAACTGGGACCACGAGCATCACCGCACCCACGAATGGCCAGTGTGCATGGTACCATACACTCAGTGTGAGGTACTACATTAGAAAACTTCTCCAACCCCTAGTGTAGCTGGAGTTGAGTATCGCCTGCACTGTAAAAATGTGCTTAGCATTTTATCAAACACAAGTGAGAGAATGAGTGAGTGAGTAGGGTTTTACGCCGCTTTTGGCAGTATCCCAGCCATCGGCGTGACGAAAGAAAACTTTAACAACTTGGCTACCCAACCGCCCCCAAAACAAATCCAAAACATATATAGAGAGAAGGGTGCATTTGGTTTGTTGTTTTCTCCAACAGGACATTGCAGAGGATGGGGCCTATTTGGAGGACGGGACCTCTGTGGAAGAAGGGGCAAATGTGGAGTATGGGGCCTCTGTGGAGGATGGGGCCTCTGCGGAGGATGGGGCCTATGTGGGGGATTGGGCCTATGTGGAGTATGGGGTCTTTGTGGAGTATGGGGTCTTTGTGGAGTATGGGGCCTCTGTGGAGGATGGGGCCTCTGTGGAGGATGGGGCCTCTGTGGGGGATGGGGCCTCTGTGGAGGATGGGGCCTCTGTGGAGGATGGGGCCTCTGCGGAGGATGGGGCCTCTGTGGGGGATTGGGCCTATGTGGAGTATGGGGCCTATGTGGAGGATGGGGTCTTTGTGGAGGATGGGGCCTCTGTTGGGGATAGGGCCTCTGTGGAGGATGGGGCCTCTGTGGAGGATGGGGTCTTTGTGGAGGATGGGGCCTCTGTGGAGGATGGGGCCTATGTGGGGGATGGTGCCTCTGTGGAGGATGGGGCCTCTGTGCAGGATGGGGCCTCTGTGGAGTATGGGCCCTCTGTTGAGTATTGGGCCTCTGTGGGGGATAGGGCCTCTGTGGAGGATGGGGCTTCTGTGAAGGTTGAGCCTCTGTAGAGTATGGGGCCTCTGTGGAGGATGGGACCTTTGTGGGGGATGGGGCCTCTGTGAAGGATGGGGGCCTTTGTGGAGGATGGGGCCTTTGTGCGGGATGGGGCCTATGTGGAGGATGGGGCCTATGTTGAGTATGGGGCCTTTGTGGAGGATGGGGTCTTTGTGGAGTATGGGGCCTCTGTGGAGGATGGGGCCTCTGTGGAGGATGGGGTCTTTGTGGAGGATGGGGCCTCTGTGGAGGATGGGGCCTATGTGAGGGATGGGGCCTCTGTGGAGTATGGGGCCTCTGTAGAGTATGGGGCCTTTGTGGGGGATGGGGCCTTTGTGGAGGATGGGGAAATGTGGAGGATGGGGCCTCTGTGAGGAATGGGGCATTTGTGGAGGATGGGGCCTCTGTGGAGGACGGGTCCTATGTTGAGTATGGGGCCTATGTTTCAGTTTTCAGATACCTCACTTGTGGAAAATAGTTACCTTATTAAATGCCCCCCTCCGTTTTTTCAATTCATCTCTAAAATATAGTTGCAAAATTAGTCGTTTGATATTCCATGCAAATATTTTTTTAATTCCATGATTCAATCAATATAAACAAATATTATAATTAAAACCTGTTGAAAATCTTCCTTATAAACTATAAAACACAACAAACTATAACGAATCCCGCCCCAAATAAAAATTACAATTAATACCGGTTTAAAGGTTGGTTTTTTTTGGGGGGGGGGGGGAATCTGTAACTCCTCGGACTCACCCGCCCTTGTGACAAGCCCCATCCCCCATCCCTCGCAACTCACCCGCCCTTGTGACAAGCCCCATCCCCCATCCCTCGCAACTCACCCGCCCTTGTGACAAGCCCCATCCCCCATCCCTCGCAACTCACCCGCCCTTGTGACAAGCCCCATCCCCCATCCCCCGGACTCACCCCCTCTTGTGACAAACCCCATCCCCCATCCCTCGCAACTCACCCGCCCTTGTGGACGGACAAGTGGAATGAGGCACTGACACCCAAACTGGAAGGTGAATGCGCGGATACTGTTCATCAGCAACGCCATAATGGTTTAGTCATGGAATGCGGTAATAACATGGCGAGGGACCGCTGTTGTTCAGTGAGCGAATGTTGTGGAGCAGAAAGGAGATAACATAAGTTTTCATATTGATATCACTAATTTTAATTCAAGTTTTATTAATGGAAAAAAGTTGTATTTGTTGATTACAAAGGGGTGTCAGACCAGCGAAGGAGTCAGCCAAGTGTGTCAGTTCAGTCCTTTTGGAGAAACCTTAGATCCATGTTGTTACTATTTGGTGACGACGATGCTATGCTCTCTTATCGAATATAAATGTCATTTTTGATTGATCTGTGAGAGTTACCAACACCTTTCTGAATTGTATAAAATATATATATAGGTAAGTCATTGACGAAAACTCTCCCCAAAAATGTTAAACATTCAACTCATGTTAAACAAATTGTACTGTCTGTCATATGGGCTGATAGTCATTTTAAATCGACAGTTAGATGCACATATGTTTTTCAGAAGCCCAAAATCCATAGGTATTTATATATATGCTATCTAAAATTCGAATTAGCGATCAAATTATTATTTCTGCGTAAGTACAAATATTTTCACAGAAGTACTGCTCCCTCGACTATAGCATGTTAGAGGCCGGTCAATACTAAGGCAATATGTTACCTGTGTATATCTGCTAGCCGCTCGGTAGTATTTCATTCGCGTTAACTTGGATCAATAAAGGCCGATACTATTCTTGTTCAAAACTAGTCAGTTTAATCTGCCGAGCTAGCGGTACACTAGGCACGGCCGTAGTATTTATGCTCTGTTATAAGAAATCGAATAAGTTTTATCTTGAAATCGAGTTATTGAGATGTCACACACATACAACGATTTCATGAGTAGCTTAAACTCGCATCTATAATAATTCTTAGCATGCTATAATATATCAAACACTGCCCTCAACTTTTATTGTTCAGTGTTACTTAATGTTTCAATTAACTGTGTACTCAATAACATTCCTTGGCCATATGGCCGCGAATACTGAAACAAATAATCGCGAATTCTAAACAGTCCAAGCAGCTTGACATACTGAATCTCACCAAGGCGTCCCTTGATATCAAATATATCAACACGAGGCGACAATTGTCCCAGACTAATTCAGAATGTATTGACAATTAATCAGTCATCTTTTCCAACTGCTCCTTTGTGTGCACCCTGCTTGACCATGGGTCAGTTCTGGGGATCAGATGAGCTTCAATATTGTACATATGTTATAAGTCGTGTTTTCTATAGTGTTTAGTAAATTGATAATTACACGTTTACTGTCCTCACCTCAGAAACGGCACACGGAATGCAAGATTTTCATTCAAGGCCAGAACGTGGGCTTACTTTTTTAAAGTAGAGTATTTTATCATTTATCAGCTCTCCAAACAGTAAAAACCAACAACTAACTACCACGACTGTGGATATTTTAACATTGGGTATCCGTTAACATTAGGTTGTACATGTTGCTGTGTGTTTGCTTGTGTATGTTAAAGAGTTACTGATATTTGTAATGTGGAAATCTAAATTGAACAAGCGCTAACTGATAAACGACCAGGTTACTGAAGCCAGGTAATTAAACTGTCGCTATTGCCACATAATCACTACACAAAACCTACTGGTTGGTCATCTTCCCGAGGCAAGAGAGTTAACTGGCTAGATAAAAGTCCAGTTTCCACCCTTGCATAACTAGGCTGGTATTATGAGTTACATTTTGGCTGGACTAACGAGTATATGCATACTAGTCTAATCAAAATTGCGCAACGAAATCGAAATCCGGTTCGTAAACTGTCGTGCAGATTTCGGTCGATTGTAGGATTTGCAAAACATGTGCACCGCCAACCCGTTGTCATCAGATATTTACCAAATCTTTACATGTTTTTAATCAAGGTGCTCACGTGATTTGATTCATTTCGCGATGTAAGACCCGTTTTATCACAATATAGATCCTGATTATCGATCAGATCGTCCCGACTGGGCGCCGTCATTTTGTTTGAAGCAAATGCGAATGAAACGAGATGTGGAATCTGACTGGTCCATAGGAGAGGCTTAGAAGGGACATAACTGGTAATAGCCACTGGTGGCGCTACGATCGAGCCCATTAATTTCAGCCTAGTTCGGCAAAGGTGGAAACTGGTCTGGAAAGTCAGTTAACTCTCTTGCCTCGGGAAGATGCTGGTTGGTATACACAGTTGACAGTGTGTATTGAAGATAGAAGAAAAGGTAGCAGTAGTTTATGAAGTGTCAAGCCCAGGAATATTATCAGCATTGATATTCATACTGATAAAACGATACCATACGCTACTGTTCAGCGCTTACATATATGCATACAGTACGATATATGTACATACACTGACGAGCAAAAGAAATGTTACCAAATTCGAATTTTGACACATCGGGGCCGAAACAGTGTTACGATATGGTTGAGAATTAATGGCCCTAACACAACAAAACAATATCTATAAACATACCTGTTTTGCACGAATGCATGTATACATTATGATTAATTATTAAATACTGAGAATGCACTTTGATTCCGGATTTGCTGCTTGTAACTTTGCCACAGTTTTGCAATGTCAGTCCGATGGCCGTGGACAGCAATACTTCACGACAGTTCTATAATGTCCCAAAACCAAACTAAATCAGGCGGAACATACAATAAGAGGGTGAGCCCTTTATCCGCATCGTACAGTGGGAATCCATGGTCCAGAGCAGATACAGTCGTGACACTTTGACTGTATGCAGACAAGAATGCTTGTAAGTATTTAAAAGGAGAATTTGCTGGCCCATCGGCCAATTTTGATATCATTTAATATTAAAAAATGTTGGAAATATTATTCAAATTAGTTCAATTGAAAAAAATGAGAAAGGAAACGTTTCTTCAATGCTTCAATGACGCTAAAAAGTAGTTGAATTATGTTTAAAATTTGTTGAATTATATTATGATACTTTACAGAATGAAAAGAATTCTAATTGTAATAATTTTTATTTTGTAAATTTATTTTCAGTTATATCTAAACAGTGAATGTGTCAAATATTTGATCATATCAATCAAAACCAATGTTGATATCGACCATTTATTTATTGATACAATAAAATAGAATTAACATATATAACCTGATAACCACATATAACCAAAATATGGATATTGATTCACAACAGATGGAAATATTATATTACAAAAAACAATTTTATTAAATGAACAAAAAAATATCACAAGCTCGACAAATATTTATCAAGAAATGATTTTCAATGTACTGATATCACTGTTTCAAATCTCATTTCCAACAAAAAAGCAAAAAAACAAATTGCAGTTGTAATATAATAAATAAGGTGTGATTGTGATATCAAGGACTATTTCTGATAGAAAAAAAAGAAGATTTTGTGATTCAGCATTTTTTAACATCTTATAATACGAAATAGCTACGAGCGCCTGGAACGAACTTAGCAGCGATTGCAAGTCACTGGTCATGGAGAACATGTCTTTCGCAAACAATATGTATATGTACACGAGTTGAAAAGATAAAACATTGCTCCTCCTTTTGCAATAAGTCCCATTAAAGTTGATATCGATCTTAAATAAAATGAACATCTACATCCACATACAAGATACACATCAAGTTTTCCTTTAACGAAATAGGATTCCTTTATTATGGCCTAATGATGCGTTCCAGTTCGCCCTATGTACACCACAGCTGGTGTAATTGGATAAGGACATTTCTCCTAGCGCATGTGTCCTAATGTGTGTTAATCATCCTTATATATCCATATATGATTACCATGTAGTGAATTATTCGCAATTACACAGTCGACAGCATTAATGTCGGCCTCAGTCAGCACAGTTGCAGGTACACGTATTTCACACTTCCTATATGGTCTGAAAAGAAAACCTGATGGCTGATGACAAGATCAACCATCCACTTTGTTGGTGCACACCGTCTCCCGTCAGAATAGAAAAGGAAACAAATTCGTTGGTGTTTTTATCTAATGAAGTGTATATCACGGACTGTAACGAACCTAGTTTTACAGAGACTGGCTCTTGGCAGTATGTGCACAGCAACTCGTTTACGGCCCGAAAACATGGACTCTCGTCGGAGAGAAAGTCCTTGTTTATGCCGGATATTTGCTGCCCTACTGTTCAGCGCCCCCCCCCCCAGAATTTTTTAAATATGATGGTGCGCCTTTTCAGGGACAATGAAATAAGCATTGCCAATTGTATATATAAGAAAGGCGCTCATTACTTTTAGAATTCAGCTTAGTTTGCTTATCAGTATCTCTGGCACAAGCACTTAAATAATTGTGCAACTTAACTTTGACAACAATAGATCCCAACTTACAACTTAATTCATCACACCAGAAATGTGAGTTTTAAATGGTCAACATTAAAAGGCTAAGCACTTCCTATTGCACTTATATAGCCACGTGCATCCATGTGTGTGTGTGTGTGTGTGCGCGTGCGTGTTCGTGCGTGCGTGCGTGCGTGCGTGCGCGCGCTTGTACTAGTCCGGACTAATGCCTATTATATTGTGCTAGGCCCTGAGACACCATGGACCGACCTGTCCTTGTTTTGCCGGGCACCAGGCAGGGTTCCAATAGGTACCATCTTTCAATATCTTGTTGGTATGACGCGAACCCCGACCTTCCGGTAACCGGCAGCCGCTCTTCCACAAGATCACGGAGGCGGTCGGGACAAGAGTAAAGAGTTGTATTCTCTCTAAACCCACCTATACTACGACTACTATTAAATAGTTCATCACTGTACCATCTTTTCACTACCGTAATACACAAATCTAAATATTTCCCCCAGTGTAGTATTGAGTTTGTTCATCTCATCTGGGTTTTCGGGCACATGCCCGTGACGATGCCAGATGTGAACCCCATAGCGAGACTTCCAGTCATAACCGGATTGTTTGAACAACTTAGCCGACTCAAACCAGTTTGGTCGGTATATCATGGAGGCTATTTCATTTACAGATTCTTTTCTCTTCAGCCAGAGGCGCTTGGCGGCCCACAGTGAGTTCTCGAAGATTAAGGATTTATTGTAATGACGATATCCTGAGTACCATTCTCGCAAGAAGCCTGAATTCCTCTCGGCAACAATAAAGGCGTTGCCCATCCCTGTCCCGTCGTCGATTAGGCCCATGGTGAGACTAATGTTGAGTAGTGCATCTATCGGCCGCAGTATCAGCATGTCGGTGTCCAGATAGATGCCCCCGTTCACTGAAGATGTAGACATTGATTGTGTTAAAACGTGACTGAAAACAAAGGTCACCGAAGCAACTTTAACAGTACCATGTCATTTTATGAGAGTGAAGTGTTCCAGGCAGTTAGGAGATTACATATGACAGAACTGAGGGTGTTATTGAGTATTTGATGCCCGGCTATTTCAATTCATCATATACTGGGTAGGTTTCTCGGCAGGATAAAGCCAACGGATAAAAACGGTATCGGTTGGGGTCATTTACGAAAAGATATACGAATAAAATGATCATGTTGGAACTACCTTCAGTGTACACAAACAGCGTTGACCTTGTCTGGCGGCTACAAGAGTAGCTTAATTCCCGGTGATAAAGGGCAATTACTCAAGCGGACGGACATACGGATTGTCGCGAAAGACGATAAAGTTACTTGTGTGCTTTAAAAAGATAACTTTGAAACAGTTACTTTGCCTAATTAGAACTCTTACATTATCCGTTGTTCAAAAGAGACTGTCAAAGATTCCGTTTTGCGTGGCGCAAAATCACCACAACGACAGTATTTTACCGCATTTCTTTCAAGGTTACAATGGAAAACATAAAAACAAACAACAATTACAGATTTTCAGATTGTTTCCGATTACTTACATGATATATTTATGTATTTACGATCCCTGAATAAACGAATTTCCTCCTCTGAAAATCCCGCGTGCTGCTACAAGTGAACACGCCATTTTGTAAAATTCGGTCACCAGTAAAAGTACTACGTCACTGCTTCTAGGTGAAGGTCGGGGGAATACAAGGACACACATTCTATCTGCTGCTTATACAGTTTCAATCATCATGTTGATTTTTCGTATGTTTTATATATTTTGGCGCGCGACAACATTTATGAACCTTTGGTAATCGGTATGGCTGAACATTATGTACATAGGACATTGACAAGTGCCGTATATCATATTTCTTAGCTTTAGATAAGTGTGAGAAGATGAAATGTAAATGTAACTGCAACATGCACGAGTATTTCCTTTGGAGTGCAATATTCAACATCTTAATTTCGTGTAAACAGGTTAATGAATAGCCATGTTATCTTATTTATTTCAAATGTTAAGAAGGAATTGTTGATCGAGAGAATATTAACATGATTTTGTATCAAACGATTTACGAATTGCTCATCTCTTTTCGCATTATATACTCACTAAAATGCCTCTCAAAGAAATATAATCACTTGTTTCACCATTTTGTTAAATATTTAAATATTACTTTATTTCTGCAAGAATTGTAAAAACAAATATAAACCGTGTCATGTACCCCATTGGTCGAAATGTATACGATTATCTTGATAATTCCGTTAATAAAGAAAAATATATATGTCAAATATTGTTTGTTTGTTTTGAAATATTCTTTTTGGGTATATTATTTACGTAAAATCGATGCCTAACAGGTGCGTGTCTTGTCCAGTTAACTATCTAATTGTTCACCTATTCAAGATATTATTTACTGACGGGATCGGGTGACTTGGTTGATGCATGTCATCGTATCCCAATTGAGTGGATCGATGTTCATGATGTCAATCACTTGATTGTCTGGTCCAGACTCGATTATTTACAGACCACCGTCATATAGTTCGAATATTAAACAATAAACAAACACGATAAAGACAGTCCTTTTATGTTGTGTCGAACAAACGTCAAATTCTATTCTCCAAATCTAAGTTTTTCATACCATGAACATTAGGGTGGTATTTATTAATCAATATACCAAAGTCGTCTTTCTCCGGGGTCGCCAAAGATATAAAACAACCCATCTCGTCAAACAAAACTGTGATTACCACTATGCGTGTGCCAACTTAATACTCCGTGTTTCTTGAAACAATAACAAATGTTCCTGGATGTCACTGTTGTGAAAACATACTACTAGTTATGTTTTCATCATATGTTTGTTTTACATTGTTCTATTACTTTAATATTTAAACTCAAATGTGCCCGATTCACATTCCTAATTCTGAAGGTACCACCATCTTCCCTGGACAAGGGAGTTAACCGAATGAAAGTCTAGTTTCAGCCCTTGTCGAACAAGGCTGGAAATATGGAGTTATATTTTGGCTGGACAAACGAGTCTATGTATACTCCATTCGAAGTCGCTTAACGAAATCGACATTCCGGTTCGTAAACTGCCGTACCGATTTCGGTCGATTGCAGGATTTGCAAAGCGTGTGTACCGACATCTCAGCGTCAACATATATTTTCCAAGTCTCTTGCAAATTTGTTTAATCTTCTGGGTTACACATGAGCGCTTTATGACAGTAGAGGTACTTGCATCAATATGAAGGTATGCTACAGCGACTGGTACCCTGCCCTTCGCCTCCAAGCGGCTGCTTTCTTTTAAAGTTGTATTTACGTCTTTCCAACGATTAATCCCCCCCCCCCCCCCCCCCCCCCTCCTGTATTTTTCTCAAACTCATAACAAATAAGGCACGGCGCCAGAAATTCGTTATTCGAAACGTGTTTTGTGTTTTCATATCTTTAATTGGGTTGTGCAAGGATATTAATTTTAACAAATATCACGTTCGTTGATAAAGATTACACATGTACTTACAAATTTCAATAAGGTTTGACCTCTAAGGTTTGAAGAGTAGTCTCCCTTTGACCCTTACGTCAACCTAATTGGACACTGTATACGCCACTCTCCTACCCAGAACACAATGTGGCCAGCATAGTACCTCTGCCACAGGCCAGCGCCATGTGACAATTCATCACATCTTACAGAGTCCATTCAAGATATTCAGGGCATACGTTTTTTCAGGTGTGTCATTTTTTAGGATTGTTAAGTTTCACTGAGTAAATATTCTAAAACGCGAAAAAACATTTCCATTTGCGTATAGTTACCCTTTACTTTTATAGTTACACTGGTTGTACAGAGCTAGCGATACGGCTACTCTGATGTATAAAAATATATTGTCATGCACCTTACTGTCGCAGTTGTAGTAGCGTATCTACATAATTATGCAAAACAATATACAAAGTCCACCGAAAGGCTTGCAATTAGGCCAGTCTCTTCTAATTTCAGAATAAGCGCGTTTATTTTACAAACAAGAGAGGCAGTGGTCACCACTGCGCTGGAGTGTGCGTACAGGGCAACCAAAAACACCGAAAATAAGAATATCAGGCCGCAGGCTGATAACCGGTATCACTCTACGGAGTTCTTTCCACGGTTAGTATTAAGTGATAAGCATATTATGACCCTGTCTTCCAAGTAATGGCCCGTATCATCCCGAGACACCCATATCTGACCAAGGCATTCCAAGGAGTTTCAAACTTTTATCCTCGAGTGTTGATATATTTGTTGACCTCATAAACCACGCCGTAAACCATAGCATAACTTTGAAGGCCGTGAAAGGTGAAAAGACAATGGCAGAGAGATTAGTGATGTCACTTGATTGTGACGTCATGGTACCCGATGACATCACAATGGTCTGATAGTGACAAGGCATTGGAGATAGAGAGGAAATTCCATATGTCTCGTTGAATCTCACCCGAGTGTCTTTTGATATCAAATATATCAACATGAGTTGATAAAAGTGGAAAAACTCCAAGGCTTGCCGAGGTATTTTTCCACTTTTATAAACGAGTGTCCCAACCATGTTCCATCTTACCTATTAGCGCCTGCAGGCGGACGATGTCACTTGCGTGCTGTATAAAGGCGAGCTTATCTGGCGTAAGGCGAGGGGCAGGTCGGAAAACAAATCGCACTCCTCTGACGTCATTCAGCACGCGCGTCCACCAGTAACCGTATGGAGGAGCGTCAGATATGACGTATATAGCCCAAGGGGAGATAAATCTTCTAGCACTCACAACGCTGAGATAGTGCATGAACAGAAACAGTGGCGGTTTCCCTGGTTCTGGGGAGAAGATGACGTAGTACACAATACGTGGAACGATGTTATTATCTTTCGGCAGTAAACAGTTGTCCTTAATAGTGAGACCATTTTGGAAGAAAAATTGTTCACACAAAATGTCGCTTCTGTTCCAAGAACTTCCACAAAATTCTTCCAAATCAACCGTGGGTTCTACACTTTTGAGAAAGTCGTGAATACACGGTGAGTTATCCTGTGTGGTTGGGGGTGAGAGACGGCGAGTTAAGTCACGGAATAGGAAAACACCTGTCAGCACAGAGAGAGGCTTGAACCATAAATTTACACATATTATCAACATTGTTGAAAGTATGGCGGAAAGTAATAATGACGACATTAATCGCTTGTGAAATTTCATTGTTACGTCACCTGGAACTATGAACACCAACCCAAAAATAATTCACACACACCGATTTTTCTTAAGTCGGCACACATGAGAATGAAGGCACACCTTCACTGACGTTGTTTCATGGCACTGTATCCATTCATCACGTCTAAAGCTTCTCTTCCGCCGTGCTGAAACAGTGTACCCCTTGCGTGTAACGTGTGCTGCGCCAAGCCACATATGACTCCTCCAGCACTGATGTGGTTGACATGCCCCTTGCAAAACCCGTGTATTGCCCCCTCCCGTTCTCTGGCAGCTGTCACAAGACCTCCACTAGGCGCTTAAATATTTTGGCCATTTGTCACGTTTGCTGGGTAATCGGTTGAGATTTGTGCTAAGCAAGGGGTCCAGATCAAGTATGGCGTGCATTGTAGTAAGTTCTTTGAAGGAAGCTGTTTCCATCACAAAAGGTGTCCGCACATGAATAGAATTCAAACGAACAGGTAGAAGTTCTAAACTGATGCTGCATAAATTTAAATAGATCATCTAAACATATTTATTAATCATGAATATGCACAATTGTGATTATAAATGTGTGGTAAATCAGTTAGAATATAATGACGTATTGACGTGATGGGATAGTTTGAATATTTTGTAGCAACCTTAAATACTACTGGTCATGGAATAAAAGGGAGTCAGTCGTGCCGAATACTGCATGGCATACTCAAGCATGCCTGTCGTTCGGTGTGTAATTTTGCTTATATGCAATTGGTTATTATGAGTTATG